TTTACCAATACATTTTGGAGCACTTCATGCTTCCTTCTGCTGACCAGCTTTTTGAAGATGCTGATTTCATTTTCCAGCAGGATTTGGCACCTGCCCACACTGCCAAAAGCACCAAAAGTTGGTTAAATGACCATGTGTTGGTGTGCTTGACTGGCCAGCAAACTCACCAGACCTGAACCCCATAGAGAATCTATGGTGTATTGTCAAGAGGAAAATGAGAAACAAGAGACCAAAAAATGTAGATGAGCTGAAGGCCACTGTCAAAGAAACCTGGGCTTCCATACCACCTCAGCAGTGCCACAAACTGATCACCTCCATGCCACGCCGAATTGAGGCAGTAATTAAAGCAAAAGGAGCCCCTACCAAGTATTGAGTACATGTACAGTAAATGAACATACTTTCCAGAAGGCCAACAATTCACTAAAAATGTTTTTTTTATTGGTCTTATGAAGTATTCTAATTTGTTGAGATAGTGAATTGGTGGGTTTTTGTTAAATGTGAGCCAAAATCATCACAATTAAAAGAACCAAAGACTTACACTACTTCAGTCTGTGTGCACTGAATTTATTTAATACACGAGTTTCACAATTTGAGTTGAATTACTGAAATAAATGAACTTTTCCACGACATTCTAATTTATTGAGATGCACCTGTATATGCAACAGGACTGGTTATAAATTGAATATAACTACTGCATTCAGAATAGAAAGGGTTTGTGTGTGTTTTACAGTATTTTACCTCAGCTACGTAGCACGGCGCTGCTTACGTGTGCAGTGTGAATGCCACAACCTGTTAATATGGATGCAGAAATAAATCAACGCTGCTTACGCACACATGTGCGAGACAGGCCTTAATGTGAGAAAATAGTAAAAATAGAAAGACATTCAAAGGTTACATTGCAAACTCAATGCAACGAACCTTGGAATTGTGTGATGAATTATGTATGTATTGCTGGAGGTATAAGAAACAATGGTCAGATCTGCATTACCTAGAACTCTGTTTGTTTTTACACCTCCCTCGCTCTCTCTCTTTTTCACACACACACACACACACACACACACACACACACACACACACACACACACACACACACACACACACACACACACACACAAAACAATATGACAATATGCCTCCCTAAGGTTCTACAAGCAAAGCTTTGTTCCTTCCCCGCCCCTGTATTTTCAAGGGAGGAAGCGCGTAAGGAACACAGTTGTTGTACTTTTTAAATGGGCAACTGGAGAAAAGTATTTGGTTAGACTATGATATAACTATGTTTATCACAGACACATAGCTATGATAATATATAAACTCCTATAGTACAATTATACTTTCCGAATAAATATTTTTGATTGTTCTGTCAGAGCACTTTTGTCGCCTGAGGTCAGTTCGAGTTCAACTCAAGTATAGTTTGAACATATCATTATATTACACTCAAGGCAGCGCGAATGACCTCTTGATATTTTTTTACATTTTATTTTCTTATCTTTAGCAACAGATAAACTAAGATTTTTACTTCTGCTATTAATTATGTCCTGTAAATCCTACCAAACTTTGCCGTCACTACAGTTAGAGGCTCAAAGCATAATGCAAAACGCCGTAGTTCACACTAATTTGAAAACGGCCAAACAGTTTCCTAATATTATTTAATAATTTGTAATACTCTATTTAATTATTAAATGAAAATTAATACAAGTGATATTTTAGCTTTTAAAACTACCATCTAAATTGCGTATTCATTACAAACGGTAGGCTACTTTAAAAATCATGTAGCCTATATGTATAAGTAACATAATATGTTGGACATTGATTTTCCGGGCCGGCTTGCCAGACCTTAACCTTTATTAGAAAACACGTTGTAAATTAATCGAAAATCAAATACCTTATGCTTATTTTTCTTATCAAATACTTGTTTGGTTCTTTGCTGCTCCTCTGCATTTAACATCAACATTTCCTCCAAAATAATAAATATTAAGCTTTCAGGGTGTTTTACAGCCTACTTTCAATGAGTGTTAAAGATTTTATAGCCCTCCATTTGGTATTTCTGTGTGTGAGAAAGAAAGAGAAGAAGGGAGAGAGAGCGCGCGTGCACAAGAGAGAGTAAAGGAGAGTTTGTGTGTGTGTATGCGTGTGTGGGTATGTCCGAGCAACAGAGTTAGGAAGTTTCAGGCCGTAAACAGGAAGGCGAAATTGTGGTCGCGAGCATGAGTCGAGGGCTACCGTTTCATTTTTCATCAGCTTCCTTTATAATGATATGAGTGGGGAGGGCTCTGGGCTCCGTGAAAAAAAATGCATGCAATCCTCTAGAAAGTCACTTAAAAAGACAGGCGTCCATACAACCACAATCATAAAGTCCATACTTATAGCATACAATGCAAATACAAAACAATGCAAAATGAGGAATAGTAATTTCCCTTGAGTGTTTATATGTGCTGTGAGTCACTAAGGCGACTAGGCGTTAATTCTAGGTGTGTTTGTGCGTCAGAGAAATATTTGCAGGGTGTGTGTGATACGTTTTGACACAAACTCAGGGGATCAAAGACAGTCTATGAATGTGGTCTGTGAAAGTTAGCTCAAAGACATGTACGACTATTTGGTATTACTGTACTTTTTATTGATGTAACGAGGTTCAGAGAAATTATTTAACAGAACATTTCAATATAAAGTATCCAGTCTCTGTCCATTGAGCATCTGGTACTAAAAATCTATTTCTATATTGATTTCCATGAAGCCTCTACCATGTAGACGCAGTAATTTCGAACGTTTAAATAGCCATTTTAAGACTAATGCGTTTTGCATATTGATAAGGGGCAATCTGCGAGCATATCTCATCCATAATGCATAGGGACGGGATCATCCAGGGGTCAGCAGACGGGCACTGCTGCGAAGGCGCAAGCGCAAAACAATACAAGTCCATAAAGCAAAATTAAGCGATGTTTGTCCTAACAATTTTTTATACCGTTTTATATAATTGTTTCTTTTTTATTTTTAACATTTGTTTTATTTCTTCAATTTAAAGCCAAGACAAAAAAATAAAAATAAAAATCCTACAATTTAGTGTGGTGTTTTCTGCATGTTCTACTGGCCTTCTTGACTCTTTAGGAAATTCAGAGAAGAGGAAGAGTAAGGGTGAACAGGACTGTCAGATGATACAAGAAAAATTTGAACTCGGGTCGCCCGCTCGCCATATCCGGGCTAACCACTAAGCCACAGATTGATTATTCATATAACCCGTTTAAGACGTAGCCTATTAAAAATGGTCCGAATTCGATAATACAAAATCCCTGATTAGATACAACAAATTCTGCAAGTATTTAGGCTGTTCAATTATGAC